TGGGGTCTCTATTCTCTTCCATTGGTCCACATGTCTGTTTTTATGCCAATACCATGCTGTTTTGATGACCACAGCTTTATAGTATATCTTGGGATCAGGGAGTGATATGCCTCCTACTCCATTCTTCTTACGCAGGATTGCTTTTGCAATACGAGGTCTTTTATGGTTCCAGACAAATTCTATAATTGTCTTTTCTAGATCTCTGAAGAATATCTCTGGTATTTTGATTGGAATTGCATTAAACATGTAGATTAATTTGGGTAGAATTGCCATTTTGATTATGTTAATTCTACCAATCCAGGAGCATGGGATGTCCTTCCACTTTTTTATGTCACTTTCAATGTCTTTTTTAAGATTCTCGTAGTTTTCTTTATAAAGGTCTTTGACTTTCTTAGTTAGGTTTATCCCTAGATATCTTATACATCTTGTGGCTATGGTGAAAGGGATTCCTTTCTTCAGCTCTGCTTCATTCAACTTGTTGTTCATAAATAGAAATGCTATAGATTTTTGGATATTGATTTTGTATCCTGCCACCTTACTGTATTCACTTATTACTTCAAGCAGTTTTTTCATGGATACCTTTGGGTCTTCTAAGTATACCATCATGTCATCTGCAAATAAAGATATTTTCAACTCTTCTTTGCCTATTCGAATGCCTTTAATACTGTTCTCTTCTCTGATTGCAATAGCTAAGACTTCCAGTACTATATTAAAGAGCAGTGGAGAAAGTGGGCAGCCTTGCCTAGTACCTGTTTTCAGAGGAAAAGCTTTCAGCTTTTCCCCATTCAGTATAATATTAGCTGTAGGTTTTTCATAGATTGCTTTTATTGTGTTCAGAAATGACCCTTCTATACCAATCTTACTGAGAGTCTTAATCATAAAAGGATGTTGTATTTTATCAAACGCTTTCTCCGCATCAATTGAGATGATCATATGGTTTTTATCTTTCTTTCTGTTAATGTGGTGTATTACATTTATGGTCTTGCGTATATTGAACCACCCTTGCATCCCTGGTATAAAGCCTACCTGGTCGTGATGAATGATCTTTGTTATATGTTGTTGGATACGATTTGCGAGTATCTTGTTGAGAATTTTCGCATCTATATTCATCAATGATATTGGTCTGTAGTTTTCCTTTTTTGTCATATCCTTATCTGTTTTGGGGATGAGGATGATGGAGGCTTCATAAAATGAATTTGGAAGGTTTCCTTCCTTTTGAATCTTTAGAAATAATTTTAGTAAGATAGGGGTTAATTCTTCCTTGAAAGTTTTGTAGAATTCACAAGTGAAGCCATCTGGGCCTGGGCTTTTCTTTGTTGGGAGATTATTAATTACTGATTCAATCTCCTGGCTTGTTATAGGTCTATTCAGATTCTCTATGTCTTCCTGATCCAATCTTGGTAGTTTATATGCATCCAGGAATTTGTCCATCTCCTCCAGGTTATCTTGTTTGTTGGCGTAAAGTCGCTCATAGTATCCTCTAATGATATTATGTATTTCTGCTATGTCCGTGGTAATATTGCCTGTTTCATCACATATTTGATTAATCTGGTTTCTTTCTTTCTTCTTCTTGATCAGTCTAGCCAATGGAGTATCGATCTTGTTGATCTTTTCAAAGAACCAGCTTTTGCTTTCATTTATTTTCTGTATGGTTCGTTTATTTTCTATTTCATTTATTTCTGCTCGAACCTTTATTATTTCTTTTCGCCTGGCATTTTGGGGGTTCGTTTGTTGTTGTTTTTCCAGTTCTCTGAGGCATGATGATAAGTTATCTACTTGCCATCTTTCCATCCTTTTCTTATGTGCACTAATTGCTATGAATTTCCCTCTTATGACTGCTTTTGCTGTGTCCCATAGGTTCTGGACACTTGTGTCCTCATTATCATTTGTTTCCATAAATTTGTTTATTTCAGCCTTAATTTCTTCAGTAGTGAAGAAGTCATTCAGAAGTAGGTTGTTCAGTTTCCATGTGTTCGTGTGTTTTCGGGGTTGTTTCTTGAAATTAATCTTGAGTTTAATTCCATCATGGTCAGAGAAGATGCTGGGTACAGTTTCTATGCCTTTGAATCTGTAAAGGCTTGATTTGTGTCCTAATATATGATCTATCTTTGAAAAGGTTCCATGTCGGGGTGAGAAAAATGTATATGTTGTGGATGTAGGGTGGAAAGTTCTATAGATATCTGTCAAGCCCATTCCATTTATAGTATCATTTAAGTCCTGTATCTCTCTATTTATTTTCTGTCTAGAAGATCTGTCTATAGGAGATAACGGGGTGTTGAGATCTCCAACAATTATAGTATTTTTCCCTATGTCTCCTTTTAGCTCCAGCAGTCTTTCCTTCACATATTTAGGCGCACCTGAGTTGGGTGCGTAGATATTTATAAGGGTTATATCTTCTTGCTGGATTACCCCATCTACTATTATATAATGCCCTTCTTTGTCTCTTCTTACAGTCTTTGTTTTAAAATCTATTTTGTCTGAGATCAATATCGCTACTCCAGCCTTTTTCTGATTTCCATTTGCATGGAATATCTTTTTCCAGCCCTTGACTTTTAGTCTATGTATATCTTTATCCATAAAGTGAGTTTCTTGTAGGCAACAGATAGAGGGTTTCTGTTTTCTTATCCATTCAGCTAGTCTATGTCTCTTAACTGGGGAATTTAATCCATTGACATTCAATGTAATTATCGATATTTCCATACCTGATCCTATCATTAAGTGAGCCATTTTCTTAGTTGTTTTTTGTTCTCGTATAACTGTCTCTGATTTTTTAGTTTTCCTGGTATAGTACTCCCTTCAAAACCTCTTGAAGAGCTGGTCTGGTGTTGGTAAATTCCTTCAAATTTTGTTTATTTGAGAATGTTTTTATCTTTTTTTCCCATATAAAAGATAATTTTGCCGGGTATAGTATTCTTGGTTGAAATTGTTTTTCACTCAACACTTTGACTATGCTTCCCCATTCTTTCCTTTCCTGCATTGTTTCTGCTGAGAGATCCGATGTTAGCCTGATGGGGTGACCTTTGTAAGTAACCTGGCGTTTCCCTCTTGCCAACTTTAGTATCTTGTCTTTGTCTGTTGTTTTTGCCAGTCTGGCTATGATGTGCCTTGGAGATGATCTTCTTGGGTTGATTCTACTTGGGGTCCTCTGTATTTCTTGGGTCTGGATATTTGAATGCCTTTCTAGATTTGGAAAGTTTTCTTCCAGGATCTCATGGAATAAATTTTCCAGGCCCTTATTATTTTCTTCCTCCTCCGGAATACCAATTATCCGAATGTTGGGGCGCTTGATGGTGTCCAGTATTCCTCGTATATTATCCTCATTTTTCATGGTTGTTTTCTCAATCTTCTTGATACTTTTATCTAGGTCAGATGTTTTGTCTTCTACGTTAGAGATTCGGTCTTCTGCCTGGTCTAACCTACTTTTAATGCTTTCAAGGGAGGTTTTGATTTCCTGTATCACATTCTTCAAACCTAGAAGTTCCATCTGGTTCTTGTTTAGGGTATCCATTTCTTCTTTCAAGTCATTAAAGGACTTCCTCATCTCCTGGAGTTCCTTGTCTCTTTTCTCTTCCATCTCAGTTAGTTTGGTCACTACAAATATTCTGAATTCCTTATCAGACATGTCCATGACGTCCATTGTATTGACTGTGGGTAATGTAGGCTTGATGATTTCCCTTGATGGAGAGGCCTTTTGTTGGTTGCTCATATTTCTTGAGCCTCTGCGATTGTTCTTAGTCATCAGGTAATCTATATGTTTCTTGCTAACTTGATTAAGGTATCTCTGATTCTTAAAAGTTGTACAGGCTTAGAAGATTGATGATTTCTCTTATGGTTGGCCTACCTATTACTCACAATTACCATTAACTGTTGCCACTAGCCCTGGAAGGCCCAAAGTCCTCGCTGTTTCTAAGGAGTGGTGAGCCTTCAATTGACCAAATAAGCAACACCCCAAGAGCAAAGAAAAACAAAATGGAAAAAGAAAATTGCGTGGCGCGCATTGCGCGCCGCGCGCTACTCAAATCACCAAAATTCAAACAGTCCAAAGGCTACTGGAAAGGGATCAGACAATGAATGACAGTACCAGGTTGGTCGGGCCTGCAGCCTCAGTCCGCCTGGTGTCTGGAACTGTTGGCCGGCTCGATCCGGGTTTCAGGTGGGGAGGGGTGGGGGTTCGCCTTAAAGTCCCAGGCAACCAACCTGGGGTCCAACGAGGAAGAACAGTGGGGATGCATGGAGTTTCGGTAGGGTTGGGCCTGCAGCCTCAGTCCGCCTGGTGTCCGGAACTGCTGGCCGACTCGATCCCTACTATTTACTTTTCATTTGTTACATGGGAGACAGGATAATGCATAAGGAGCTATGAAGACAAGATGAGTGCAGAAAAGAGATATATGGAAATTAATATTTTGGAGACATCCTCCTAAAATAATACCTGTGAACTCTTTGAGAAGTCTTTTAGTATAGTGTATGTGTCCCCCAAAGTGAAAATTGCTGAACCAAATGACCTCTGGCATCCCTT